TGGCCGAACCTCACTCAGGTCGCTAAAGAGCCGCATGCAGCTTGCAAGCTGCCCTTTGCCGACCACTGCCTTGAGAGAACACTTCCGAACAAAAGTCAGTTAGTCAATGCTTTAACTTGTCGGGAATCCATGTCTTGACGTGTTTCTGTTTGGTGTGTCTCCCTTGGCATTTATCTATGTGACTTCTTTATCACTTAGATCCTACGCTGGGTAGGCTGGCAATAGATATAAGTAGGTTAGGAAGAAATTGTAGTAATTACACTCGAACGGAGTTTTGCGTTCCGTTAGACATGCTTTACTTTGGTGACATCTGTCTTTTTGTTTCCTTTCATTGCAACACTAAACTAGCGGCACAGAGAGGTGTGAGCTAACGAACACATTAGATATTAACCAATTCGTAACTAGATTCATAAATTTACTAACGCATGCATGAATCGAAAAATAAATACACACATAAATAAATACAAAAAAAACACATAAAGGCACCCAGACACACTAAATCCCCACATAATTACACACATACATACGTAATTTGGGTTTTTATCTGATAAAGTTAAATTTGATTTTTATCTCCATAAGTTATTTGAATAAGTTTTTAGGGGCCCCCATTTCAGGCAAAACTAATTCGGTACATTTATGGAATGGGCTCCCGCTGGGTTCATCTTTCAACTTAAATGTAATATAGTTATAGTAGTGCATTTAGTTGTATAATTTTTCGTATTCGAAAAATAATTATTTTGAAAAGAAATTTTTTACTCGTTTCTAGGAGGATATTAATTTTAATCCAGAATGTTCCAGAAAGTTTTATATTGTTCTACTGAGATATATAACTGAGGTTCACTGAGGTGAACGCTCCTTCTGCTTCCATGGGCCCACGTTCTGGAACCAGCTCCCCTTCCATATACGTCATAGTGAAACCTCGTCCATTTTCAAAAAGTCCCTTAAAACTCATCTGTTTAGGTCCGCCTATGACCTGTGATGCACCCTCCTTGCCCTACCTCATTTTCTGTTTCGGGTTGATCCTGAAGTGTCAAAGTGTCCTCTTTTTATAGCCATTTTCATTGTTTCTATAGTATAGTAGTTACTATCCTAGTGTCTCATTTGTATTTACTTAGTTTACATGTTTTAATAATTGTAAAGCGCTTAGAGCTTTATGATAAGCGCTATATAAAAATGCAAGTAGTTACTATCCTAGTGTCTCATTTGTATTTACTTAGTTTACATGTTTTAATAATTGTAAAGCGCTTAGAGCTTTATGATAAGCGCTATATAAAAATGCCTAAATAAATAAATAAATAAATATAATGGGATCTACAAGCTTATTAAAATGTGCAGGACGATCACCAACAGTGCTGACTAGGACCAGCTACAACAGGACCTCCTTCGGTTAGCCGAATAGGAGGTGCGCTGGGACATGGAATTTCATACCGTCAAGTGCCAGATCCTGTCTGTCTCCAGAAGCAGCTCCGGTCTTGACCACACTTAGGATTTGCATGGCCATCTGCTCGAGTCAGTCTCCTCCATAAGGAACCTCAATGCTACCATTCAAAGAGAGGTTCCTGGGACGAGCATCCTAAAAATGTGTGCACCCGGGCAAACTAGACCCTTGTGTTCTTAAGGAGAAATCTGAAGCGTGAAAGAAAAAGCATTAAGCCTTTGTCCGGCCACTTTTAAAGTACGCATCTTAAGTCTGGGATTCTTTTACCCAGAAGAGCATCGAAAGGTTGGAGGCGGTCCAGTGACGGGCAGCACGGTTTGTCCTGAACTGCCTCAGAAACACCTCAAGTGTTGGAAATATTGGGATGGTCACCATTTGAGGAATGACGACGACAATCCAGGCTCTCCATGATGTACAAAATAGAAAAAGGGCTGTTCCACTGTTCAGCATTAAACAGAAACTAGTCCCTCTCCCCCCTAGAAAGCGACGAGGCTATAACAGGCAATTTCAGTTTATAAAAACAAGAACTCAGTACTGGAGCTCCCCTGACCTGCCAAGACAATAAGTGACAGGGACAAGCTAAAAAAGTGACAGTTGAGGCGACTACACTTGACACATTTGTGTCTATTATAGAGACCGTCCGAATTTCGGCTTAGGCTTCGGTTTCGGCGCTGAAAGTAGCCATTTGATCACTTTCGTCCTCGTTTCGATTTCGGCCGAAAGTGATCGAGACTTGCCGTCATATTGCCGAAAGTGGGTGATGTTCATTATTGCTCGACGTCTTGCTTTCATGTTATATGCTATATGATTAATACTCTTTGAAAATTGCTCACAGCGGTTGGATGAAATACTCGGTTTTTTGTTAAATGTAAATACTAGTTCTATGTTTCCAAAAAATTAAAATTTCAAATAGGCCTAGGCAAATGTAATCAGTTTTGTGGAAGAAAAACTCAAGGAATGGTAATAGTTATATATATATTTTTTAAAAAATTTCTTCAAAAATAAAAATTTGGAATCCTAGGTTAATTCAATTCGTTCATTTGTGATATTCATTTTGATTTATCATTATCATGCTCACAATGTTGTCTTAGGCAAAGTTGAATAATATTAAAAAATCTTATGAATTGTTAATATTTCCTTTTATTATTTTTAAAGTGTCGGTACTGACACATTTTAATCTAAAACAAAGCGTTTGATGTCAATAATTACAGTGCTGTTGTTTGTTTTTTTAACGGAAAAAATCATTATTTTTCCTTTATTTAAGCATACGTAGTTGGACGATATAGATTACAGGGTGGGGGGGCAAAGCTTCGTACGGCCCTGAGTAAATAGAGAGGGGTAGGGGACTTTAGTGCAATACAATCCCCGGGGCCCCCTGCTGATGTAAATACGGCCCTGCCACAATGGTCATGCACAATGTTGTTACTTTTTATAATGTCAGAAAGTCTAAGCTTCGTGTCATTATATGCCATGTCAGCACAAACAAGTTTATCAGTTCTAGGTTTAGGACCATTGCCAGGTATTAAGAGAAGGTACAATGTGGGAGACCTCGTGCTTGAAACTCAAGGACGTATGCATATGTTCGCTTATGTGCATTTTTTATTCGTACGTGATTAAGTGCACGACGGAAGTGGGAGGGGGAGAGTGAGGGGGGGGGGCAGCGAATGATGTCGATTCCCCGCTCAAAATCGTGACGAACAGCTTTCTTTCTGCAAATATATCATATATGTATATTCATATATATAGAAGTAAAAATATTTTGGTTTTGTTTGTTGCTTTAATCCGCATATTTTTCTACATTGATTGATGAAAACAGTACATTTGGGGCCGTGGGGGGGGGAGGGGGGCATTAAAATGTGTCAGTACCGACACTTTAATTTTTGAAATAGGAGAAATCGGGAGCCCCTCGCCAGAAAAAAATTGTGTTTAAATCCAAAATGATGGTGTGTATTTTGGCGCAGGCACGAAATTATTTTTGCATCCTTCTACAATAAACCGGCAAGAAAAAGCATTTTTTTGTGTGAGTTGAAATTTAGTTGCCCCGACCATGCATGGGTTATACAATTCCTTTTATCATTTTTTCCCCTGTATCGAAATAGTAAGGCTGTTGCATAACTTTGTTTTAACTGAACTATTTATATTTCAAAACTACTTCATGGAAAAAAAAAATCAAAATAAACACTCTCTTAGTAAATTAGTGTAATAGTTAAAATTGCTCATTTATTTAAAACTTAAATAGCTTTTACAAAATTTCAAGTTTCACAAAAGAAAGAAAAAAAACAAAAGAAGACAAAGCATGTTTTTTCTTCTAAGATTTTGTATGGCTATACAAAACAAGTCATTTTAAAATAACCATATGAAAATGGTATCAAAAATAATAAAGGAATATTTAAAAAAAAGGCCTAATATATTTATTAAAATTATGATTAAACTGTGATGAAGTTAAAAAGTTTGTTTGACATATCTTTTATTACCTTTTCATTGGAATCAATAACTAATAAAGTTACAGCGATTTTTGTAACACGCTGATTTACTCGTCAACCCCCTCCGAAAAAAAAAATTTAAAAAATAGTACACACACAAATTGACAGTTTATCAAAAGAAAATTTTTATACAAAGAAGTACCAAAAAAAAAAAAATAAAAAAAGAACCACAGAAAATATAACCAAAAACTGGATCAAAAGTCTTCTCACAGCATTTTCAAAATTGTACATGGATACATACGTACATACGTGCATACATACATACATACATACATACATACATACATACATACATACATACATACATACATACACACAAACATACACACATACATACATACATACATACATACATACATACATACATACATACATACATACATACATACATACATACAAACATACATACATACATACATACATACATACATACATACATACATACATACATACATACATACATACATACATACACACAAACATACACACAATGTATGTATGTATGTATGTATGTATGTATGTATGATACATACATACATACATACATACATACATACACACAAACATACACACATACATACATACATACATACATACATACATACATACTTACATACATACATACATACATACATACATACATACATACATACATACATACATACATACATACATACACACAAACATACACACATACATACATACATACATACATACATACATACATACTTACATACATACATACATACATACATACATACATACATACATACATGCATACATACATACATACTTACATACATACATACACACATACATACATACATACATACATACATACATAATTAAAAGAGTACATTTAATTTAAATATTTCACATTGAGCTAAATTTGATTTCCTCAAAGCCTTCGTTCTCCTAGGAATTGATTTTACATTGCAGTTTATTTATTTGTCTCTGAAATCCTTATCACCATTGTTTGTGTGTTTCTTAGCAGCGTGTCCTTGAAGATATGCAATGCCCTGTGATTCTATGGCCCACAAAATATTAGAATTTCCTGCAAGATTTTCATGTTCTTACCCGCTTACTTAGAAACACCTGTATAGTTTTTTTTTTATAACATATCACAACAATCTTAACTTTTATGGATCCTTTTCCAAGAAAATTTTAGTTTATATTTGTTTTACGTTACCAAGGACTTGGGCATAAAAGGCACTGTATTCAAAATGCTGACTACGTGATACATTCAAACCATTTATACTCTTTAAAGGTAAGGCACTTGTTAACTTATTTAAGTAAAATTCTTTTATTTTAATTTGAGGAAATGTTAGATACAGATATTTGGTTCAGTTTATTTGGAAGTTATTTGAGTGAGGCCAGTGAGGTTGATTGAGGGAAAAAATATGTACCTGACTATAGGGTAAAAATAAGAGGCTAGGCAGGGAAAAAATTGGTGGCTAGTTATTAAACATGTTTTTGGATGTAAATGGTTATGTAGTGGCTGTCAGGGTATAACTAAGTTTGGACTGGTTCCTGTGGCAGACTGGAGGTAAGTGGGTATGTATAGGTAGTCATGGTATAGAATGGGTTAAGTTCAGACTTGTTTCAGTTGGAGTTTGGAGGTAATTAGCTATATAGAGTTAGTCATGGTATAGCAACGATTTGGTTGGGACTACTTTTTAGATATAGTTTGGAGGTAAGTGGTTATCTTACATCACTTACTCTCTCAGGTATGCAGATTGAGTTTTCTCATACAATGCGAGACCTTGGTGTCTATTTAGACATAACACTTACTATGGAAAATCATATTAACATGCTTTTCCTAGAGTTGCGCAGGATTAGTCACATCAGACCTTTCTTAACGTTAGATGCATTAAAGAGGCTAATGTCTGCATTTGTGTTATCCCGCATGGACTACTGCAATGCTCTCATGGTGGGTCTCCCAGCTACGCTCCTGGATAAAATTCAAAGAGCACAGAATAATGCTGCTCGCATTGTTCTTCGCAAACGCAAATTCGACCATGCTAAAACACTTCTGAGAGAGTTGCATTGGCTGCCGGTCCACGCTCGCATAGAGTACAAAATTGCAACTTTGTGCTACCGCTGCTTACATGATCTGGCACGTCTTATCTCAAAGCACTCATGACGCCTTATGTACCCACTAGAGAGCTCCGCTCATCCGATAGTGGCGAAGTATCGATACCGTGTGATCGCCTTGAGACTTACGGAAAGCGCACTTTTGCATTTACCGGCCTTACAATTTGGAACGCACTTCCTGTCGCTCGCAGAAACAGCCAGACACTGGAGTCCTTTAAAACCGATTTAAAAACACATCTATTTCGCAAACACCTTCTGGGGTGATGCTATCTAACATCTTTTTCAGTTAATGTATATTTGCTTGTGTTGTTTATGGTTGAAACGGGATGAAAGACTTTGACTGGGTATGCTCGTATGTAGTTTCATATTGTTGCGTCTGTTATTAAATGTGGTAAATTTTAGATTGCTTTTTATTTTTCTTATTTAATATTGTTCACTTTGTACCACGTTTCGAGCTTTTGGGGATGAAGCGTGATTTTCAAATAAACTTTATTATTATTATTATCTAGAGGGTATCATGGTATAGCACGTCTAAAATACCGCTAATTCCTGGTTGAGTTTGGAGGTAAGTTAGTTTTTAGAGGTAGTCAGAAGACAGCTAAGCTAAAAAAAAAAGTGTTTGGAGGTAACTGGTGATGTACTGGTAGTCATTGAATAGCATGGCTAGCTTGGGACTCGTTCCTGATGGAGATTGGAGGTCACTAAGTATGTTTGTCTAATTTTAGATTGACATTCCTCGTGCCCTCCTGTTATATGAACATGAAATTCAAAATGACCCTCACCAGATTCGTGACATTACACAATCAAAACAAAATAACCACTTTAATTGCACTTCTTTTGTATAAGTACTTTTGATTGAATAATTATAAGTTTGTTTGCCCTCCTGAAACGAAATTGCAAACATTAAAAAAAAAAAAAATAGTGCATTCCATTACTTACGGGAACGTTTAATAAGCCGCGATCCAAGTCGAATAGCAGCTCATTGAAAATTTCGTGGAAATTCTCACATCCGATTAAATTACTGGTACTATTTGATGTTTCAACTCGGTAGGTCATAGAGTGTAAGATTAATAAAGCACTCGCGTCAATGAGCTGATTTACCAAAAGTAATAACTGTAAATTTTCGCGACGATATTTGCTATTCCACTGTGTAAAACTCAGTTTTACAGTGTTGGTTCAACTGGATTCCCGATTAAATATATTAGTGAAGTGTCCAACGCCAACACAGTGACAGCCAAAATCTTATCTCCCCCTCATAATAAATTATGCAAACTTTTCCGTCTCTGCTGTATCAGGTACAACTTCAGAGATCCAGTTAAAATTCCTCAGAGTCCATTAGCCATCAATGACATCTGGTACTGAATCTTTAAGGCTGAATAATTTGAACCAAGAAGAGGAATAACGCTGGTATTCATGTTAGCCAAACTTGTGTATTAATCAGGTCAACGTTGACAAGTATGCTTTTTTAAGACATCGGAGTCTGTACGTTGGCATAGCTTAATTCACCATCAATTATATCTTCACATTTATCCCAGTGTTTAACCTTATAGCTATTTCAAAGAAATGAACGGCTCTCCTGCGCCCGGAGCGTAAGAGAGGTTTGCTCATTTCAAGACGACACGGGGTTAGTGTCAGTATGGGGTATTTATGGACGGGTCGTATCTGTGATTGTGAGGCAGTCGTTTCCCTTTGGGGTAGCTAATCAATCTAGAAACCGACTGAAAGTGATTTTTCTAGACCGAAATTTTGAAATTCGTTCGCGCATACATTCTGCATACATCGAAAAGTGAAGGGGGAAAGTATCAATATTTACATTCTTTTCATAAAAAATGAGATCATCGTGAATATTAATAAATAAATAAACATATAATGAATACTTTGGCTTTTACCATTTTAGTTACAAATTTATTTAAATTTCTTGAAAATTTTGTAAAGTAGTATGGTACAAAAAAAATTGGAACTGGAGGAGGGTAATTCATACAAAATAGTCCCTTTTGCTATATAACAAAATTACAATCTAGAGAATATAACTACAATAACTATTGCGGCTGTAAGAGAGCCAATTATTACCTAAAAAACAATAATAAGGCTATAGAAATCTCACCACAATGTTTCGCCGTTATCGTCATACTAATGCTTTGTGTTTTCATCGCCTAGTTCCGACATATTAAACTTTCCGAGCTGGTAATGTAATTGTTTCTCAAACGACATCTGAATTGGTCTACTAAATCATAAAAGTAAACAGGCCATCAGTAAGCTCACTACATAATTATTTTAAGAACTCGTGACGCATGCACACACGTGTTATTTCGTCAATAGCAATGTTTATGAGCATGATTATGATCACTTTCAAGAAAACAATGAAATGAAAAAGCCTAAGTTTCCTTAATAAAAAGTAATAAAACAAAAATAAAGATGGAAATATTATCATTCTCAAGGATTATTCAGTATTATTTACCTTTGCCTATGACAACATTGATGGGCGTGATAAAGCTTAATCAAAATGAATATCCCAAAATTCTAATAAAAATAATGATATAAATATTAACATTCCTTTAGTTTTTGTCCACAAAACTGTTTATATTTGCCTAGGCCAATTTGAAATTTAATTTTTTGGAAACAAAAGACAAGTAGGGCATCATGCACCTGTGAATAGTTTTCGCAGAGTATTAGTCATATAACATACGATGACAGCAAGACGTCGAGCAATAATGAATATCGGATCGCCGGCCTAAAGACAGACATACATACAATCTGACTTCCGGTAGATGACCAAAAAACCACAGTCACTTTCGACAAGTGGTCAAATGGCAATTTTCCGCGCCGAAACCGAAGCCGAAATTCGATCTGTCTCTTCTTTGGACCCCACATGGTGCTAAGCTACCACCTGTGGCTCCAAGAAGCTGTAGCATGCACATCGGCCACACAATGGAAATCTGCTTTGACTAGCCTAACCAGGTGAGGGGTTAGTAGAACTACCTCAGGTCTTCGGTAAACAAGGGCTCGTCCCCCCGCATCATGTGGAGAATGTATCCAGAGGATTGCACGAGGAACAACAGAAAATTGAAGACAGCAACGCGATGTGAACCACTCGGAGCGTGGCAAGACACTTAGAACGACTTGGTCATTAGTGCACCCTTTCCCGTCCCCAGCCGTCTCAACCTAGTCTTACTGCTGGACTCAGATGGCGTTGGGCGAGAGACTGACTTAAATTTAAATCATAGCGCGTGTCGTCGTTTTAAACATACTTACACTCTAGTTTGTTTTCTCCATCATCTACTAAGTCCTCTGACGATGGGTCAGTGACAAAGCGGCAAATGTGGAAACATTGGCAGGTGTGGGTAAATGACAGGTGTGGGTACTATGGCAGGTGTTGAAACAATAGCAGGTGTGGGTAGTATGGCAGGGGAGGGGGAAAAGGCAGGTGTAGGTACAATTGCAGGTCTGGTTGCAATGGCTGGTGTGGGTACACTGGCAGGTGTGGGTAAATGGCAGGTGTGGGTACACTGGCAGGTGTGGGTATTGTGGCTGGGGGTACCATGGCAAGTGAGGGTACCATGGCAGGTATGGGTACCATGGCAGGTGGGGGTAAATGGCAGGTGGAGATACCATGGCAGGTGTTGGTACCATGGCAGGTGTGGGTAAGTGGCAGGTGTGGGTACCATGGCAGGTGTGGGTATTGTGGCTGGGTGGTACCATAGCAGGTGGGGGTACCATGGCAGGTGGGGGTAAATGGCAGGTAGAGGTACCATAGCAGGTGGGGGTACCATGGCAGGTGTTGGTACCATGGCAGGTGGGGCATTTACCGTCCATCTCCATGGTATCGAGGTGGGGGTACCATGGCAGGTGTTGGTACCATGGCAGGTGGGGGTAAATGGCAGGTAGAGGTACCATAGCAGCTGGGGGTACCATGGCAGGTGTTGGTACCATGGCAGATGGGGGTAAATGGAAGGTAGAGGTACCATAGCAGGTGGGGGTACCATGGCAGTTGTGGGTACCATGGCAGGTAGAGTTACCATAGCAGGTGGGGGTAACATGGCAGGTGGAGGTAAATGGCAAGTAGATGTACCATAGCAGGTGGGGGTACCATGGCAGGTGTGGGTACCATGGCAGGTGTGGGTACCATGGCAGGTAGAGGTACCATAGCAGGTGTTGGTACCATGGCAGGTGGAGATAAATGGCAGGTGTGGGTACCATGGTAAGTGTGGGTACCACGGCAGGTGGAGGTAAATGGTAGATGTATGTACATTGGAAGTCGTAGTCGCAAACCTGCACATAGATGGCTCTTGCTATAGGGTTGTTCATCACTGTAATCGGGCAGTAATGGATGCCGAGCAGCCCTTTGAGCGGCTGAGCAGTTCTCATTACGACCAACATAAAGTAAAAAAAAAACATAATTCTTTGAAGGGTTAACATCTTGGGAAGGTTCTACTGGTAACTACATCAAATTAAGTTCTGCTTATTCTTAACTACACATCACTGTGTAACAACTGTACAGTGTCCACTCCATAAAAAATTTGGGGTAATAAGATTAAATTTAAATGAGTGCTCAAAGTAAGGAAAAATTGCTCCGATAAGGGTCTAGGAGGTATTGCGATTTAGGGCTAGGGAATTGGGTGTCAGCAAAGCATGTTTTGGAGAAGAGTTGAGTTCCTATTTGATGTATGAGAAGATGTTGATATTTGGGAAGAGAGAATTAAACATTTTTTTAAAAATTCACACACAAAAAAAATAATTTAAAAATCCTATTTTTAATGATGCAATGAGAGAATGGGGTAATATGTAAATATCTCAGAATATTGAAACCAAAAAAAAAAATATTAATATTTAAAATGGCAGGACGATTGTAACGCATCACTTCATCCTATGTTTCAATCGTATATTATTCAAGTTAGTTATGTAAATAATTTGTGATTAACTTTTACATAAAATGCATTTCAAAACTTTTTTATTCAAGGTTTCGATTTGCCAAAAATGGGACAGTCTCAGGCCAAGTATGCTGAAAAGGAAGACAATTTTTCGGATGGTCCAACCAAAAGTGGACGGACACCAGGAAGCAGCGATTCAAAAATGAATTACCTGCTCATAGGAAAAGCTGGAAACGGAAAAAGTTCTTCGGGAAATGCCTTAGTAGGGGAAACTGTTTTCAGATCTTTTAATGCCTCAACTGCGGGCACTAAATTTGTATGGAGTTACAAAACCAAACGATTAGGAAAAGACGTGTGTGTTGTTGACACACCTGGCATTAGTGACACCGAGCATCAAGAAGATATTAAAAACGCTAGATTTGCAAGAAAATATATGACGAAAGCATTTAATGTATGCCAAGAAGGCTTTGATGCATTGCTGATTGCTTTAAATATTACCAATAGATTCAGTTTGGAAGAACAGAGCGTGATTAAGCTGCTAACCGACATTTTCGGAGAGGTTATGTTTGATTACACAGTTCTAATCTTTACTCGTGGAGACAATTTTGATAGTGATCATCATTTGGCTGATGCTGACAAGAGTCAAGCCTTTTTCAAGTCATGGTGCAAACAACAAGTAGGTCTTCTTGGAGAATTACTAAAGAAATGTCAGTACAGGGCTGTGTTGTTTCATAACACAGACACATATAAGTTACATAGAGACGTGGAGTTACTTGCCTTAGAGAATGAAGTTAAGAAAATACCAACAAAAGGGTCTCGGTATACAGAGAGAATTTTTCAAATGAATGAACACAGGAGAAATCATATGATACTAAATAATTATCTACCAGAACTTGAAAAAGAAATTGATGAAAATCTTCTTTCCCTGAAGAAAGAAGTTCAGCTCATTGAATCAGGTGGAGCAACAATTACAGACAAGGCTAAGGGAGCTTTGGAAGCTATAGATAAGCACGGCTCTAAGTATCCTACTCTAGATACTTTGAAGGCAGCTCTAGGAAATTTACAACATAATTTTAAACTTCAAACAACGAATCAAGCAAAGTTTCACCTCACTACTCAAATTCAGGAAATAATTAATTGATGGCTTCGTTTTGCGTGAGCTAAGATCTCTGAGTAATATCATTGAAAATTTAAGAAAGCCCGAAGAACACAAAGAGGAACTGAAATTCAAAGCGAATCAGCTTGCTCGGTACATAGACGAAGAAGCTCTTGGAACGAATAAACTCGATGGCTGGAAAAATAAAGTGAAAATGCTTTTACTTGAAATTGATGATTTAGATACAAAGGGATCTGGCACACTTACAGAACATAAATAACCCGAGGGATTATTGTTAGGTCGCATGATTCGCAAAACCCGACTGCATGGTGTTTACATTTTGCTATAGCTATTGTGATCTTTTATACTGTAGCAAATGTGGGGGATGTCAAAATCCTACTTTATTAGAAGACATCTTTTTTTCCAATAAAAACCCAGTTCATAAATAACCCGAGGGATTATTGTTAGGTCGCATGATTCGCAAAACCCGACTGCATGGTGTTTACATTTGGCTATAGCTATTGTGATCTTTTATACTGTAGCAAATGTGGGGGATGTCAAAATCCTACTTTATTAGAAGACATCTTTTTTTCCCAATAAAAACCCAGTTCATTTAAAAACTTTTCGGCGGCAGGCATGGGGTCCAAAAAGGAACAAGTTTATTCTGATATTTTTTTGTTAAGGTATTTATTCATGACTTGATTGCAGGGGTTCTAAAAATTTGTATTTTTTAGTCTTTAAGTTAAACTGAGGCCTTATTGTTTACACTTTATGATTAATCAGGAAAAATATCAAAAACCATTCTGTACCTGTAAAATGTATGCATATTTTTGAAACTCCGAATAAATTAATTATCCGAAAAGTTTTAATGAAGTTAAATACATAATTTATAAAAGTGAGATGACAATATTATTTTATGTGGAAGCTTATCGACATTATGTTTTAGATGTTTTGTAATTTATTTGCACTTTTGGCCAAGGACTAACTCATATTTATTTTGTACCAATTTTAAAAAAATATATTCTTCTCTAAGAGTCATATATCTACCTTGATTTCTTTAAATCTTTCTAACATTGTTACTAGCCACCGAAACAATGACATACGAAACTATGATATACGATACTATGAACAACGATACCGACATTTGAATAGGAACAAACAAGTATCTACAAATGTGGTGGCTCTTGTTGGATAGGTTTTTTTTCTATGTTCAAGTCAGATTAGTTTACTTCAAGGATCTGGGAACAGTTTAATCTAGTACCCAAGAGTATATTGTTTTGTTTACGCCGACAACACCTCATCCGTTTGAAAGGGAGAACATTTTTGAAATTTAAATTAGTTATTTTTGATGTCTTTATAACATTTAGAAAAAAAAAATTGTACATTTCAAAAGTTTAAGCTGTGTGTATGTATGTTTGTGTGTATGTGTGTGTGTGTGGGGGGGGGGAATAAATCTAAATCAGCCTCTTAACTAACAATTCAATGTAAGACAATAATAAATGAATAAAAACCAAATTTTGTTGTCAGAAAATGTTGTTAATGAAATATTTAAAAGTAATTTATTTTAATTCATCATTTGTATCCCAATTTATCCAGGATGAAGATCTCCTAAAATGAGCATTGCAACAAAAAATAAAAAAAAAAATTAAAAAAAAATTGTCAGTGCTTAAAGGGCATAACTCCTCGGGAATCCATGTCCTGATTTCTTTCTGTTTGGTTTGTCTCCCTTGGCATTTAACACTGTACGATCTTCAAACAACATGATCCTAAGTCGGATAAACTGGCAAGTTAAGAAATAAGTAGGTTAGTCAGTAATGGTTTAAATGATCCCCACACAGAATTATTCGTTCAGTTTGACAGGCTGACACTTTGGTGACATGAGTCGTTGTTTTGTTTGCTTTCATTGTAACACTAATCTGGCGGCATGAATAGTTGTGAGCTAAAGAACACATTAGATATTAACCTTTTCATACCTAGATACATGCACTTATTAACGCAATCGAACATAAATAAATATACACATAAATGCATGCAGACACACACACGCACGCAGACACCGGAACACACACATAAACACACACAACATACATATGTAATTTGTTTTTTATCATAATAAAAATCTTAAATTCTTCAATGGCATATAAATGAAAGCCTAGTTATTTGCTGTAATCTTTTAAATAGTACACACGTTTCGATTTCAAACAGCCTAACTTCCGTCTATAGCACAGCACTTCCACTTCCTACCGTTACTCTGGTGCTGTTCACCCGTCAAAGGACCATCTAGTCATCCGGTTAGTGATGGGGTAGGTCACGGTGAATGCCCAGGTGGCTTGCTAGTTTGATCCGCGCTCGGAATAGTCTCTGGCACCGAGGGCAGGAGATAGTTGCTGTAGTCAGTAGTCTAATTATATTTTTGGTCTTATTCTCTTGATTTAAGTTTCAACATGATTGTAGTTCTACTAGATCCTACTAGGGTTAAGCAGAGGAAAATGAAGCAACCAGTAGCTATAGTACATTTAAGTTGAAAGAGGGGCCCTCGAGGAGGCCCACTCTATCATTCCACTGATTTAATTTTGCCAGAGATTGGGGGCCCCTTTAGCATTTATTCCGATATATTATGGGTTTAAAATTTATATTTTGTCCCATTAAATCAATTTTAAAATGCCGTAAAATTAGCTTTGAAAATTTATCGATATTTCTGGAAAATTCTAGACCTGCCCTGAATGGATTTGATTTTATTAGTTTTAGATCCATCGAGATTTCAATACGGACTCTGAAAGGTATGGCTACCAACCTAGGCCTAGATCCATCAACTCTCATAAAACCTATTGCATTTTCTAAGCCTATTGATATTTCTATAGCTTATATTAGGAAAAATGAGAACTGGGCCCCCGGCCCCAAAGGAGTCAATATTATGAGTTCAATATCCTTTGGTATTTGCATATGAACAATCAAGTGTATGTGTACTAAGTTTGATCAAAATCCATCTATTCATGTTGGAGCATTTGATGTTACTTTTATTAATCTAGCTCAAATAAGGAAAAAAAAGCAACACCTCTATGGTAATAAATAAAATAATACATTTGTCTCCTATAGAAAGATAGGATAAGATGCTTTTATTGGTCCAAACAAATGGACACATTTGTATTGATTGCATTGCGAATTGTGCCATTGTAATAAGAATTTTGCAAACCTTTCGTTCCACAATGGGATCCCGATCCCGGTGGGATCACAATAGGATCCCGTTTCCCGGAGGATCCCGACAGGATTCCGATCCCGGTGGGATCGTTATCCCTGTGGGATCCCCATTCCCTTGGGTTCCAAATCCCGTCGGATCCCGTTTTCCAATGGGATCTTGTTTCCCGGTGGGATTCTGGTTAAATAGAGATTCCTTTGGATCACAATCCTAGTGGAATCCCGTTGGTATCACATTCCCGGCGGAATCCCCTTTCTCAGTGAGACCCGATCCCGTCGAATACGTGATCACGATTCAGATCCCAGTGCGATACCGTTTTCAGGTGGGATCCTGATACCGTTAGGATTCCGTTATCTGTGGGATACCGATCTATCTATTCATGCAGGAGTAGTTTTGGTCATTTTAACTATATTCCTCAAATAAGCGAAAAAAACAAGAAAAAAAAAACGAAAAGAAATAGTGTTACGTTTTCGAACGGTGATGTGACCTCCTTCACTGCTCATCCCTTTCTTTTATCGCCCTTACCCCCCCCCCCCAACTTTTTCCTTTCTTTTATCGCCCTTCCCCCCCCCCCCCCAACTTTTTCATCGTGCACTTAGTCACGTACGCACCAAATGCACACACAAGAACACATGTCTACGTCATCGAGTTTCAAAAACGAGTTCTACTAAGTTGTCACCTTCTCTTAAAGCTTGGCAATGATCCTAAACCCTGAACGAACGGATAAAGTAGTTTGTGCTGGACGGACTGCCAGATTAAGGGCACAGGTGCTTGACTTTATGACATTATAAAAGGTAACGTGGCACATCGCAAATGTTCAGAGCCGTCTTTAAAGCAGCGGGGCCCGGAGCAAAGTATTGCAAATAGGCCCCCCCCCCCAAATCCCTCTATATACTCTGGGCCGTGCGAAGGAGGAGGTGAAAGTACCAATCACAACCTGTCCCAACATCAGTGGGGGTCCAAATTTTCTTATGAAAGGCCTTAAATAGTTAATTAAATGATGAAATCACACGTACTTCGCATGGACAGGGGCACCATAAAAGTCTTGCTAGTCCTAGATCGGCGCCACTTTTCCTCGGCACGGCTCTGCCCATATCCTATTATTCAAGTAATGTTATGACCCCAAGTTTTATGGCCCCGTTAGGCCTATGTGTTTCGACCAGTTACGTTTATTTAATTATATCCGTGTGGGTATTGGGGTGGCATTCCAAGCTTTTATTGAAGGGGCGGGGGTGCATGCACAAAACAACTTCGTCCCCCCCCCCCTCACCTCAACCATGCCTCACCATAAATTTATTCTGGTAGTGGAGCCCACATAAGGGCATGTTTTTAGCCCCAGCTTTGTTTCGCCCCAGTAATCAATATAGTCCTAATACGTATAGCAAAATGAATGAGAAATTACTATCATGTTCGTTTAAAAAAAAACAAAAAAAAAAAAAGAAAATGAAATTATTGACATCAAATGCTTTGTTTTATAATAAAGTATATCAGTACTACCACTTTTATATTATGGAAGGGGAAGGAATCGAGAGCACTTCACCAGAGAAAAATTGTTTAAACCGAACTGATGGGATGTCGTATTTTGACGCATACACGAAATTATTTTTACATCCTTCTACAATTAACCGGCTAGCATAAGATTTATTTTCAGTTCAAATTTCATTTCCTTTGACCATGGATTGGTTACACAATTCATATATCTTTAGTTGTATCTGAATAGTAATGTTGTTTCATAATTTTATTTTGAAAATGTTTATTTTTCAAAATTACTTCATCAGTGACTAAATGTTAAAAATAAATAAATAAAAACAATTGTTGGCTATAAAAAAAAACACAAATAATTTATAAATTATTAAATTAGTGTAATAGTTATCAATTTTGAATTTATTTTTTCCAAAATTTACAGTTTCAAAAGTAAGCGAAAAAATATTGTTTTGTCAATAGGTTTTGTATGGCAATTTAAAACAGGTCATTTTAAAAATAAATCATATTAAAATGGTATGCAGAAAAATAAAAAAAAAGAAAGAAAATATTCAAGACCAGCGTCATGAATTTGTTTACAAAGTTTATTTGAATTTCTATTATTACTTTCTCATTACATGATGAAATAGTGACATTTTGGCGATAATTGCAAGACTCTTTGTTTTATTCCACATTCCCAGGAAGAAATAAACAAACATACCAACAAACAAACCATACACACAAAATGACAATTTGTTTCAAAAGAAACTAACTTCTTCTGAGAACTAGTACCTAACAATTGAATTGTTGAGAAAGTCGAAAAAAACAAAAACAATCTTGAACAACTATCTGCATGCAACATTTTCAAAGCAAATTAAATTGTAAAAAAAAAAGATTTCAATATACTTAAACATACGTGCATAAATACATACACACACACATACACACACAAACACACATACATACATACATAAATACTTGCATACATACATACATTACATACATACATACATACATACATACATTACAAATATACATACATTACAAAGATACATACATACATACTTACATACATACATACATACATATAGACATAAATACATTACATACATTACATACATTACATACATTACATACATTACATACATTACATACATTACATACATTACATACATTACATACATTACATACATTACATACATTACATACATTACATACATTACATACATTACATACATTACATACATTACATACATTACATACATTACATACATTACATACATACATACATACATACATACATACATACATACATACATACATACATACATACATACATACATACATACATACATACATACATACATACATACATTACATACATACATACATACATACATACATACATACATACATACATACATACATACATTACATACATACATACATACATTACATACATTACATACATTACATACATTACATACATTACATACATTACATACATTACATACATTAATACATACATACATATATACATACATACACACATTACATACAAACATACATACAAACATACATACATGCAGACATACATATAGACATACATGCAGACATACATACAGACATACATGCATACATACATACATACATGCATACATTACACATAAATAAATACATAGCACATACAAAATACATACATAATTAAAAAGGTGTATCAGATTTTAAATATTTCACTTTGAGCTAAGATTGCTTTCCTGAAAAAAAAATTCTTTGTCCTAGGAGTTAATTTAATCGTTGTTGGTTATTCTTTTTACCTTTAAAACCTTATCACCTT